GTGGCTCACGGGCCCAGCCGCTCCGCGGCATGTGGGATCCTCCCGGACTGGGGCACGAACCCGTGTCCCCCTGCATCAGCAGGCGGCTCTCAACCACTGCGCCACCAGGGAAGCCCCAACACAGCTTTTCTGTTCCAGCATGGTGCTCAATATTAGTGTCAAGTTCACATTTTTTTCCCAAAGTGTTTTATTTTCCAGTTTCTCTTACTAAGCGTCTTAACCACGTTTAAGTGTACAGTTCATTGGTATTAAATATTCATGTCATTGTGCATCCATCACCACCCACCACCTCCAGAACTTTTCCTCTTGTAAAACTAAAGCTCCATATGCCCATTAAACTAAGTCCCCGATCCCTCTCCCCCAAGCCCCGGCACCCACCCTTCTGCTTTCTGTCACTATGAACTTGACTAAGTACCTCGTATAAGTGGAATCGTACAATACTCGTCCTTTCGTGCCTGGCTCATTTCACTTAGCGTAATGTCTTTGAGGTTCATCCGTCTTATAGCCTGTGTCAGAATTTCCTTCCTCTTCAAGGATGAGTAATATTCCACTGTGGGTATATACCACAATTTGTGTGTCCACTCATCCAGCCCAAGACACCTGGGCTGCTTTCACGCTTTAACTACTATGTGTAATGCTGCTATGAACGTGGGTGTACAAATATCTCTGCGAGAAACTGCTTTCAGTTCTTTTGGGACCATACCCAGAAATGAAATCGCTAGATCATAAAGTGATTTTGTTTAATTTTTCGAGGCATACTGACTTCCACAGTGGCTGCACTATTTTACAATCCCACCAACAGGGCACAGGGTACCAACATCTGTCTTCATGTTCTCTCCAACACTTGTTATTTTCTGTTTTCTTTTTTTTTCTTTTTAACAGTAGCCATTGGAATGGGTGTGAGGTGGTGCATTGCTTACATTTTAACCTGAGACCACAATTTTATGCACCTCACGATGATTTAGTAAATGCCCTCCTCAGGAAGGAAGCGGCGACAAGCAGACACGGGAGTGAGGGGCTCCCAGGGGCCCGGGTGCATCTCGCTCAGGGTCCTTCCCACAACCCTGGGCCACACAGGAGCACGCGCCCAGCAGCCTCCCCCACCAAACTGGAGGAGGAAAGGGAAGGAAGACCCTGTTCGCAAGCGTGCCACTGACGCGGGGACCACCCCCTGCAGAGGAACGCATTTTCCCTGTTAACATAAAGTCCCTTGTATTTTCCAATGCAAGTACAAAGCTTATTCCTGTCGATGGGGAGAAGACCATTACCAAAATGAGGGGAAAAATGGTTCTAAGTGAACATAATCTCTTTTAGTTCTGTGGTTTTAGCAATCGGGGTTCTTACTGGAATAAAACAAGAAAGATTATTTTGAAAATAAACCACAGGACACCTGGCCACGACTCCCTCTGTGGCTGTGGCTTTGGCTCCCACTGTTGTAGCTGATGACTCAGGAGGCCCCCTGCGATTGGACGGGAGACACCTTCCCCAGAGAGTCCTCCTTATAAGGTCACAGCAGGATGGGTCCATTTCACAATCACACAAAATCCTTCATTTTCACCCCTGTCTGGAGGGACAGTGGATATCCACACTTGGTGAGATTTGGGTTTTTGTTTTTCTTACTGCCTGGGACTCAGGAGAGCAGACAAGATGAGCTGCTTTGCAAACGCACTGACTCCACAAATGAGGATGAATTCTCCTTCTGTGACAACGTGGGCCTTGGGTCACCCCTCTATAAACCCAAAGGACAAACATTCCCTGCCTACTCTCCACTTGGCTCCCCCTGCATTTGCAATGCCTGAGCGGATGGTCCACTCTGGCCCTGAGGCTGGGGGCCTGGGGAGGAGCTGAATGTCCCTGACACTGGACAAGGGCCTCTGTCCCCACACAACCCTGCAATAGCCATCACGGCTGGTCTTCCCTATAGGGAACCAGACTCTCGCTTCTCTCTGAACTGTCGTTCTGAGAGTCCTTGGGGCCTGGAAACACCAACACCTTCCCGATTGAGGAGAACCAAGTTCCGTCTATGATCAGTGAAGCAACCGCTGATGGGGTGGGGTGGGGTCTGGAGGAGGAGGAAAAGCTGACCTGCATTTTTACCTGCGGGCTGGCAGCATCTGGAGCTCACGTTTGCACTGCTTGCTCCCAGCCCCCCAATGTTCCTGGAGTCTGTGCTTCTGGATGATTCTGGAAGTGGGTGATTTAAGAGTCTAACAAGTGGCCCTTTGTTGGGGGAAAATATGGCTCAAAGAGCCCTGAGGAAGCAGCCTGGAATTCAGAGGCTTTTGCAGGGTGACCCTGGACACAGGGTCCTGGACACCCTGTCAGGGTCCAGGGACCCTGGACACCCTGACAGCTGCTTTACCACATTTGTCCTCAAAAAGAGAGGCCCTGCCACTGGGGGAGGGTGGCTCATGGGGAATGGGCCCCAGACACAGGGCAGGGGTGGCGGGCAGGCTGGGGGAAGCAGGGCAGGCACTGACCTCCCCGATCCCATTCAACTGTCTCCCAGGTCCTCCGAGGACACAGACCCAGAGGTGAGGGATCCAGCCCGTGGCCTCACCCACAGCAGGAGGCCTCGCCTTCTTTTGCCATCAGAGCTGTACCGTCTCCCCTGTTGTCTTTCCTTGTCACCCAGAGCAAATCAGACCTGCCAGTTTGCCACCTCGACCCCTTGTTTCCTACTCAATGGTCGGAAACCTAGATTAGGACCTCTTAGATGTAACTCTACCTTAAACATCACTAAACAGATTTCCTCAGTCGTTACCTCACGTGGTAATGCGATTTTAAAAATAATTCCATGTATTTCCTGAAAAACTCATCCCGTCAGGAAATGTCACCTTGGCAGCGTCATCAAATACTTGTTAACGAAGACCTTTCTTCGTAATAATCTCCATTAAGTTCTCTGTCAAGCATGTGGGCCTGTGTAAGGTGTCACACAGGGAAAAACCCAACAGCCTGCAATCCCATCCTTTTGGGGTTTAACGTGCCATCATATCAAATACCATGTATTACATAAATGCATTTTAAAGGGTGCTTTGTCTCCCCCTCTCGATTGGCCCCCTGTGCCCAAAAAACTATCAAGGCACAAAATATGATCACTGTGTCTTCAAAAACCACGATGATAAAGATGATAGTCTTTAAGCCTTAAAGGCTCAAATTTTGGTTTCCAATGAAGCTAGTGGATTGTTCCTACTACCCAATACTTGATAAATTCTCAGAACATTTTTTTAAAATAACATCACTACCAAAGGAGGGGTGTTGAAAAGGACAAGGTCAGCCCTGCCCAGTATGAGTGGCTCCCAGTCAGCGGACTGTGGAATTTGTGCATCACAGTGCTTTGCGGGTTTGGGAGCTGGGCTCACTCCTTAATCCTTAACAGATTTAGAAGCTACCCGCTCTCCTGTACCGTCTGTCCCAGCTAAGTGCAGAGAACCACGATGCCGGGAGAGTCAGAGAACTGTGGGGTGGAATGAGGGTGAGTCCGTCAACAATGGCTCGCCAGACACATCCCCCCAACCACGCAGCCTGAAACACACAAAGTCACATCCACTCCTGAGGCTGTGGCCACTGAGCTGCCAAGATGTGTGTGTCACGTGGTGATGACACCTTAACACGGCCAACTGTCAACTTGCCCCTCCAGTATTTTAAGGTGCTAAGGGGTGCAGGGTGGGCTTGGAATCCAGGCAATGGGCCACATCTTCTTGCTTGTCTTCTCTGCTTTCTCCTTGAGGTGGGAGAGCAGGTGTGGGTGCCCTACTGCCCTCTGACCTGCTCGCGGAGCAAACAGGGACAGGTTGACCCTAGGGCAGAATTCTGGAGAGAGGCATTCTCTGGCCTTCTGTGCAGAAACCCGCAACCTGGGCGTGTTCACTCTCAGCTACACCACAGCTCTTCCTCTGCCTTTATCTGTGGGGCTCTGGGAACCCACAACGGCAAACAAGTCAGGTAAATACTCCTCCTCCTGCCTTTGCAGGGGAGCTTCTGAACGTCCAAGTGGAAGCGACGGCTGAATATATTTCAGAGCAGCACGGAACCTGCAGGACTTGCCTGAGGATGGCCCTTGACCAGGGCACAGGGACCCTCCAAGGACACACAGGGCAGGGATGTGGCTATATACGTAATGGGTCGTAACACGGATAACTCCAACTCCATCCACCCCACAGCAAGGCTTGTCTACAAGGAGGAAATGATCAGCTGTTTCATCATTTATGTACTCATGTAACATAAATGATATGGATTTTATCACTGAGCCCACTGTATGGGTTCAGAATGGCAGCACCACGAGCTATGTTGTTTATACTAGGGGTCTCCAACCCCACCCGGTCGCGGATCGGTACCGGTCCGAGGCCTGTTAGGAACCGGGCCACAGAGCAGGAGGCGAGTGGCAGCGGGTGGGCGAGTGAAGCTCCATTTGCTGTTCCCCATCGCGCACACTACCGCTGGAACTATCCCCCGCTTCCCCTACCCCGCCACATCCCCCTCCCCGGCCCCGGTCCCGTGGAAAAATTGTCTTCCATGAAACCTGTCCCCAGTGCCAAAAAGGTTGGGGACCGCTGGTATACACACAGAAAAGTTCAATTCTTCCTCCTGGATTCCAAAGGGGGTGGGGGACTTCCAGGATCAGTTCCCCGCCCTACTGAGGTCAGAGACACCTCTCCTGCTTGTCAAACTTTCCCTGCTGCCCTGTCTACCAGCGCCACGCCTCACATTTCTACCCCTAAGCTAACAAGTTCTCAGAGTCCCAAACTCAGATGCAGGAGCCTAGACTAAGTCATATATGTTACCACTCCCTTCTCCCTCCAGCCAAATGTCATGACGATAGAAAACAGATTCAAAGCCGTTTTCCTTCTTTTAGATGAGATGCCCGGTCTGGTCATCTGCTCAGACAGGAAAAATGAGGTATAGGGTTGATTGTATCAGCCCTCTAACCATCATGGAAAATGTTCCCCAAACCACATCTCCTCAAGAGACCTGAATTTCTGCTCAAAGAATGAAAACAAATACAGTCCAAGGCCTGACAGTAGGTTCCAGTGACCTGGCTAGAATCCCTCCTGGCTGCACTGAGCATGACCCAGCACGGGAGTCTAAGGGGAACACACACAGGGGCCACTGGAGTCCCTGACAGCCCTATGTGACAGGCGCGGATGGAGTCGAGGTGGTGCAGGCTACACTTGCCTTTATGGTGGTGCCGGGGCCGATGTCGTGCAGCAAGGACATCTCTGGGGGGCTCCTGGGCAGACCGTCGTCCTCAGAGCTCATGCCAGCATCATCTCCCCGTCTGGCCGGAAGGCCCCCAGGAGGAGGTGGCGGCCCCATTTTCACATTACACTGTATTTTTAACTAGATTGGAATAAAGAACATTTGCTGTTGTTTACGTCAGCAACTTTTCTCAACAAATGCTCCCACTGCAATTCATTCATTCAAGAGATATTTTCAGCACCCTTGCCTGGGGCAGGGAACTGAACTGCGAGTCTGCCACCAGCTCTGCCGCTGTCATCTTGAAAATGAGTGGTTATAACTGAGAATGAGGTACGGGCCAATTGTAACTAACTGGGTGAGTCTTGGGAGAGCTGCGACGTGCATGCAATTGGGCTTTAAAATAGATCAAGTAAACCCAGCAGAAATCATCTTAAGACTTCCCGGTGCCTACCTGTCATACATACCCAGTGTCGCCACAGGGAAAAGTTTACCTGCAAAGCTTTAATCCGGTCACACACATTTTCTTGGGAAAAGACCCGCACCGGCCGAGGAGGGTCCTGTCCCGATTCAGGAATGAAAATACTGTCGTGTGAGAGGGCCCGGCTGCCCAGCGTGCCCCTTGACTCCCTAGGATGAAAGAAGCACTGTGACCCTCGGCTGATCCCGGGGGGCTCGGGATGGGGCTAAGGGCACATGCTACAACAAGCCTTCAGCTGCATTTATTTTTTTAAACTGTTTATGACTTCGGTTCATCCTGTCAAATACCACGGTCAATTATTAGGAGCTTTGTAGAGATAGGGATTTTTCTAACAGATCTGAAGGCTGTGTGAATTCTTTTCATTAAGGGAAAAACCAAGGTCTGACGAGGTGTGAGGTCTAGGACAGCAGGCCTGCAGAGAGGAAGGGCTGGCAGGGGGCCTGGGCTGGCTGGCAGGCTGTGCAGACTGCACTGGGTGCCCAGGGAGGGTGAGGTCTTTCCTTGTGGGCAAACATGCAGCCCCTCGGTGGGCTGGAGGCCGTGTTTGCACAGCAGGCTGAGGGCTTGCCAGACGGAGGCATCCTTACAACGTGGTCCAAAACACACATGTCCACGGCTGGGTTTGAAAGGAGAATTGCGATGTGCAAAGCCACATCCCCATCTCATTACCTGATGTGATCTGTGCAACCCAGCCTGTGTGCCAAGGTCCTGGGGCGGAGATGGTGGGCCCTTCTGGCATCACCATCCCAGCCACTTCACCAGCCCCGAGCTCAAGGCTCCAATTTGGAACTGAACCCACAGGACATTCACAAAACGTGCTAAGAGGATGTGGGAGTTATCGTCAGATTTTCCTAGCGGTGCTGGCGGCCTGAACAATAGGTGGAAGGAGGTGACTGAGACACGATGATGAAGGAAGGAAAGCCTGTCCGAAGACGCTGCCACCTTCTGCACCAACAGCCCTTCCCCTACCCCCAGCCCTGGGCATCCTGTCCTTTGTGAGGCATTAGGGACTCCTAGGTGTGACCCCGCCCCATGTTGGTTAGTGATGTTTTCTAGCTTCCTTCCAGCCGCTAGAGTAAGTTTGCAAGTGGGGAACCGGCAGCTCACAAATGTCCTCACATTTCTGGGAGAGAGTGAGGCCGAGTGAAAGAACCAGGAGGGCCTCCTGCCAATGGCAGCTGTTGTCACAAAGATCAAATGCACACCTGGGCTTCCCTCCCACAGCGGGCAGCCCATGGCCACACCCTCTGGAAACCATAATCACTGCCCAAACACCTCCACTCTGGGTGTAACTAGAATTCAAGACAGTGTGAAAAGGCCGCTGCAAAGACACAAAATGCTATATGCTCAAGGCCATTGACTACAGCATCATTTATAGATGCAAAAGACTGGAAACAGCCCACATGTCCCTCAGCAGATACCTGAATAAACTATGGGACATGATATACTAGAGGCTCTGCAGCTGACCAAAGGGGTGAGGGGCAACCCTGTGTGCAGGTAGACCAAGACTCTACTAAGTGAAAAATAAAAACGGAGTGCAGACAGTGCTGTGTTAGCTCTGTGTGGGAAAGGGTGTATGAACACATACAAACATATGTGTGTTTGCGTATATTTTTTAAAAATAAAAATAGAAAGATAAGGAACCAATGAATAAAAATAGTCTCCTTTAGGGCTTCCCTGGTGGCGCAGTGGTTGAGAGTCCACCTGCCGATGCAGGGGACACGGGTTCGTGCCTGGTCCGGGAAGATTCCACATGCCGCGGAGCGGCTGGGCCCGTGAGCCATGGCCGCTGAGCCTGTGCGTCCGGAGCCTGTGCTCCGCAACGGGAGAGGCCACAGCAGTGAGAGCTGGTCCGGGAAGATCCCACATGCCGCGGAGCGGCTGGGCCCGTGAGCCATGGCCGCTGAGCCTGTGCGTCCGGAGCCTGTGCTCCGCAACGGGAGAGGCCACAGCAGTGAGAGGCCCGCGTACCGCAAAAAAAAAAGTCTCCTTTAAGGAGAAGGATAGAACAAGACGGGACTCAGGGTACCAAGGTTTCTACTTATACTTAAAATGTTGTCTTTGAAACTATAAAAACATTTTGCATTGTTAAAAGACAAAATCAAACAAAAAGGGAAATCAGCCTCTAAAACTAGAAAACGAACAGAAGGAAACAAGTCTAATTTTATATAAGGTTGTCAGCATAAACACAGAGAAAAGAATGATTTCAAGTGACTTTAACTCGACATCCAAGTGACTCTTGACTCTACATCTGTAATAGGATAAATTCTAAGAACAAAAAGCACAAAGACAGCAAATTGTACTTGGTAGTCTTAGTAGCAATATTGGTTAAAAAAAAACAGTGCAGAACAATCTTTATAGTATGTAACCTCCATGTGGGAAAGGAGGAAATGAGATTATTATACGTACATTAAATGATGAAGAAAATAAATAATTTTGTTCGTATCATTAGGAACCAAGATTTCCAGTAAAAGAGAAAAGTGACTTCAAACAAAGAATCAAAGAAGCAACAAGTCTGTCTAAATAAATTTGAACTGGAAATACCAGTGAATTAATGATTTATTTTTCTCTTAAAAAAACATATTTCCTAGCTACATCTACTGGAAAGGTCTAGAAGTAATGACAGCCAACTAACAATCATCAGCCCTGGCAGGCAGATTGTGGTCGCTAAAAACCATTTCACACTAAAAGGAAATGGCTGATTACAGGTCTAGGGCAGGAAACGTACAAACTAACTTGGGATTTCTCATCATGCAAGAAAGCAAAGAAGCTTCCAGAGACAAATGGGGTCATGTCAAAAGAACCAGGAGCTAATCTGAAGTGACTCTCAGTAGCATAAGATGGGACAGTGTGAGCATAAAAATGAACAGAGACTGTCATGGGTTAGGGCACATCAAATATATAAAAATCCATGCATTCACAATGATAGTCAAGAAAAAAAAGAAAAGAAAAAAATAAAACTCATCACTCAGTTTTGGAAGTTTGCTAGGGTACCAGGTCATTACTCTGAAGGTAGATGGATAAAAGGAGAACCAAGCATTACCCTGCTTTTCCTGTACAACTTGTATTTCAGAGCAACCAAGGAGTTGATGAAGGAAAGGTCTTCTGCATAGACGAATGCTGGCTAGCACATGCAGGATGAATGATCGAATTAGAAAAACCACCATTTTACACTGAAATAATGGATCTAGTAATGATCATCAGCAGGTGTAAAAACTATCAGGTGAAGGTTCGTGGATGGATCACACTGAGAGAGACCCCCTGAACCCACTGCTTAATCTCAGCATCACCAGAAGTGGGACAAACACAAAGCATGTGCCTTGTGAGGTGATGTGACAGTAAGTATACAGGACCGTCTTGAATCTAAATCTAATTAAATATCTAGATCCAGCTATCATTCTACAAGAAATTCAGAGAATATAGACATGAGTTTAATCATACCAAAAGAAAGCAAATCCAGATTGTGGGATATTCTCCATCTGATTGGTGACATGAAACAAAGCAGGAAGGGTGAAGTAAAATTGTTATAGATGAAGATTATTATAGATTATAGATTATTATAGATTAAGAGATCAAGAAGCATAACCCCACTGACACAATAAATGGGCATCAACGTTTTAAACCCACAGGGTTTCATGTGGTTTGTCAGCCTTAATGTACCTTGGTTAAGTGGACATTTTTGCCCATGGTGATGGATGAGAAGTTGCTACAGAGTCTAGAAGGCTCACGGACTCTTCAAAGAGGCAAAAGAGTACCTTTACATTTTTGTCTCTTGTACGGTCAATTACTCTATGACACAGGAACCAAGAATATATCATGGGGAAAGGACAGCCTCTTCAATAAACAGTGTCGGGAAAACTTGGACACCCACATGCAAAAGAATGAAACTGGACCACTATCTTATACCATACACAAAAATCAAAATGTTTATTAAAGACCTGAACATAAGACCTGAAACCGTAAAACTCCTAGAAGAAAACATAGCTCTTTGACATTGCTCTTGGCAATGACTTCTTGGATTTGACACCAAAAGCAATGGCAACAAAATCAAAAATAAACAAGTGGGGGCTTCCCTGATGGCGCAGTGGTTGAGAGTCCGCCTGCCGATGCAGGGGACGTGGCTTCGTGCCCCGGTCCGGGAAGATCCCACGTGCCGCGGAGCGGCTGGGCCTGTGAGCCGTGGCCGCTGAGCCTGCACATCTGGAGCCTGTGCTCCGCAACGGGAGAGGCCACAACAGTGGGAGGCCCGTGTACCGCAGAAAAATAAATAAATAAATAAATAAACAAGTGGGACTACATCAAATTAAAAAGCTTCTGTGGCACAATACTTTAAATCAACTATATTTCAATTAAAAAAAAAAAAAGCTTCTACACAGCAAAGGGAACCATCAACAAAATGATAAGGCAATTTACAGAATGGGAGAAAATATTTGCAAATCTATATCTGGTAAGGGGTTAATATCCAAAATATTTAAAGGCCTCATACAACTCAATAGCAAAAACCCAATCCAATTAAAAAATGAGAAGATCTAAATAGACATTTCTCCAAAGAAGACAACAGACGGCCAACAGGTACATGAAAAGAAGCTCAACACCACTAATCATCAAAGAAATGCAAATCAAAAACAGGAGACAAAGCTTCAGATCTGTTAGAAGGGCTTTTACAAAAATGACAGGAGATAAGTGGTAGCGAGGATGTAGAGAAAAGGGAACCCTTTTGCACTATTGGTGGGAATGTAAGTTGGGGCAGTCGCTATGGAGAACAGTATGGAGGTTCCTCAAAAAATTTAAAATAGAACTCTCATATGATCCAGCAATCCTGCCTCTGGGCATTTATCTGAAGGAAATGAAAACAGGATGTTGAAGAGATATCTGCACCCCCATGTTCATCGCAGCATGATTCACAATAGCCAAAATATGGAAACAACAATTTGATGTCCATCAATGGGTGAATGGATAAAGAAGATGTGGTACATATATACAACAGCATATTATTTAGTCATGAGAAAGAAGGACATCCTGCCATTTTTAACAACATGGATGGACCTTGAGGGAATTATGCTGAGTGAGATCAGACAGAGAACAAAAAATACTCTATGATCTCACTCACATGTGGAATCTAAAAAAGCCAAACTCATAGAAACAGAGTAGAATGGTGGTTACCGGGGGCTGGGGGGTGGGGGAAATGGGGACATGTTGGTCAAAGAGTAAAAACTTCCAGCTATAAGATGAGTAAGTTCTGGGGATCTACAGCACAGTGATTATAGTTAATTATACTGTATTATATACTTGAAAATTGCTACGAGAGTAGATCTTAAGTGTTCTCACCACAAAAAAGAAACGGTAATTAGGTGACGTGATGCAGGTATTAGCTAATGTTATGGTGGTAATCATGTGGCAGCATGTAACCGTATTAAATCAACACGTTGTACACCATAAAACTCCCATAACATTATATGTCAATGATCTCTCAATAAAGCTGGGAAAAAAAGAGAGAAAGCTCTTGTCTCACCTCTGCGCTGTTCTCTAAGGACATTACTTGTACTTCCCGGGTGTCATCATAACTCCACCCCAAGCTTCCTCTCCTAGCATCACTCTAGCAAACTTTCACCAGTAATTGAAGACCCGCCCCTGCCAGGTGCTGAGAATATAAAAATGAAAGGGGCACTGTCCCCACTCTCCATGGGCTCTGGTGATAGATGATGGACAAGTGGACAGGTCATTTCAGCCCAGCTCACCCCTCCTGCTGTGTTCTTATTCCTTGGCTGGAGGGGCCGCTGAGTGTTCTGGTCGAGAGACGGGGAGGGTAGAGGCGAGTGTTATTATGTCCCTGGGGCTGGCCCAGTGAAGACATGTAACAGTGAGCAATTCATTCTATATGATAATGTCTTGCTCCCCAAGAGTTTGGAGCTGCCTTAAAACTGCGTGTATAGCCCGTCCTCTCCACTCTTCACAAGGTCCCATGTGGGTGCCTCCTACTCCCAGCCAGCACCAGAAAAAGAAACAACTTAAAGCTCAAATCTCTCCTCTTTAGTCGTTTGGTGCCACCAAGCGGTCAGTGTAATTTCTACTCCTTTAGAAACAGGCAAGGAGACTGGTGAGGAAGGAGGGGACAGGACCCCTCACGGGGATGCTGAAGCCCATGACCCCATCTCAGCACGGTCTGTCTCCCAATCCCAGGGTCATTATGCCTTATCCTCAAATTAAGGTGCCCATGTTGCTTAAAAGAAACAAAGCCTTGGGCTTCCTAGGTGACACAGTGGTTGAGAGGCCGCCTGCCGACGCAGGGGACACGGGTTAGTGCCCCGGTCCAGGAGGATCCCACACGATGCGGAGCGGCTGGGCCCGTGAGCCATGGCCGCTGAGCCGGTGCGTCTGGAGCCTGTGCTCCGCAACGGGAGAGGCCACAACAGTGAGAGGCCTGCGTACCGCAAAAAAAAAAAAAAAAAAGAAACAAAGCCTGACATGGCAACAAATCTGGTTTTGGTTTTGGTTTTCTTTTTTCCCTTTTACTCACAGAAATAACTGCTGGAATGACCAAAGCATATATATTATAACTATATTTTGATGAGGTACAAGTTACAAAAATACAGATTTCTTCACGAGACTTCCCCGTATTTCATACCTATTGAAATATGGGTTTCTGTTCTTCCTAACAATATTTTTGGATGATTTTTCTAAGACTGAACAGCAAGAAGCCTTCCCCCTACTCCTCTCTCTCTCCAATGGAAAGTTTTCTTATTGGGTTACTGAGGACTCAGGCTTAGAGAGAGGTATTTTTCTGGTATAGTATCCAGGTCCTAAAAAGAGTTTTAAGTCAAAGTAAATGAGGGATTACTTCCTAATCTTGCTACTTTCAGCTGTAGGACACTGGGCAAATTTTCCAAAATTTCTCTAAAGCTTGGTTTGTTCATTTATAAAATGGTATATCTTACCTCCTCTTCCATAATTATGTAGACTTTTTTATTTATTTATTTTTGCGGTACGCGGGCCTCTCACTGTTGTGGCCGGGGCATGAACCCGTGTCCCCTGCATCGGCAGGCAGCCTCTCAACCACTGCACCACCAGGGAAGCCCTAGACTTTTAATATATACACACCTGGCACATAGCAGGTACCTGATAATGTTCCCCTGACCCCGCTCCAACTTTCTCCATCCCTATGTACGAAAAGACAGAAAACACCATATCTATGGAGGAACCTCCAGTGGAATCACCTAGGAGGAAAGTAAGCTCAGAAATCCACCAAGTTACCACGACAACGAGCCCAAGTATTCGGGTCCTCCTGTGACCCCTCCTGCCCCCTTGGAACACACAAGCCTGAAGGATGGAAAAGGCAACTTACTCCAGCTCATCCTCTGAGTAGTAGCCCACTGGCCCTGACTCGATGGCAATGACCTCATTCTTCGCCTGGCTTTGTTTCCAGGTGCTACTCTCTGTGGAAGGAGATTCCTTTCTCTTCTTCTTCCCAAAGAACTTCTTAAACGTTTTGAATTTGGACTTTTTCTTTCCTACACAAAAAGAATGCATGTGAGTATTTACCAGACACGTATGAGATGTGCACGAGGAGAGAAAGTAAGATTTCTGTCCGTGCATCAATTATTCGCTCCTGAAAAGGCCTTTTACCACACAGGAGGTTGTGAAGCACACAGCGTACCATTTTTGCACACCTGAAAACATCTTGATTTCTGTCTATTTTGGACATTGAATAAAAGAACCAAGAAAGCTTTGGAGCATGCTCACAGAATCAAGGCACAAGCAACTTCCCTCTTGCTTGAAATCAACACTTTTTTAACATATCTTTCACTTCCTTGGTTCAATTTATTCCTAAAGAGTTTATTTTTTTGATGCAACCATGCTTTTTATTTCTATTACCATACGTTTGTTTTGCCCATTCTTGAATTCACACAGCACATCCTGTATGAGTAGAATCATACAGCATATACTCTTGTGTGTGGCTTCTTTCCCTCATATACCGCTTTTGACACTTTGCATGGTGATGCGTGCATTTTGCATTCTTCCTCTTTTTCTAAACTGCTAAGTAATATTCCACTGTATAAATGAAATCAGGTTTTAATCCCTAAAATAAAAATAGTCAAAAGCAAAAATTCCTGATGAGGTAAAGCCCGTAAATGATAACCTAAATTATTTTCCAAGATAATCCTCAAGTGCTAATACATATACATATACATATATATATATATATATATATATATATATATATATATATATATATATATATATATATATATATAAGCATTTCACAGATAGGTTCAGATTGGAGTCTCATAATAAGAGACTCCTGAGATGAGCAGAAAAATAATGATTAATAACTAACCTTATTGTATAGATTAAAACACACAAACACTCTGATGCTTAGAGAGATTGCACAGCTTGTAAGCAGGGGGGCCAGCCCTAGAAGCCTGAACTTGGGAGCCCCAGGCTGGCCTTCCCCTTTTCCACTGTTCACCACTTCAGTGCAAGTAACACTGAGACATGGCAGCAGCTCCCACCCTCTATCCCTTATCCACATCCTTCCAGTCTCTGGGAAAGAGATGTTGCGATGTCACCTACAGTTGACACTTTCCAGAAATCCCCGTGGTCCCAAAGGAACTATCTGTCTCAGGTGACTATGGTGAAACCTCCAAAAACCATTAGCGATTCTGAGATAGCGGCAATGTGTCCCCTGTCCTGACAGCCGACAATCGGAAAAAGCAGAGGGTCCCACACAGGGAGAGGAAGCGGCACGACTTCTCCTTGTTTAAGCTTTCTGACTCGGAGATGAGGGTGAAGATCTCTCCACAGCTTCTGCTGGCCACACACCGCTTCATGGCCACAGGTATGATGACTCTGCCCTCCCGCATCTCCACCCCAGGCAGGTAAGGCAGCTCTGGAGGGTGGGACCCAGGCACCAATCACTTTTAATACCTTACGACCTAATTCCAATTCTGGGAGTGAGAACCACTGTTACAGGAGAGGAGGTCATCTTAGGTGGGGCGACAGGACTCCACATACTGTCATTTTCAGCCTCAGGCCTGATCTTCTTGGTGGGGAAGTGAGCATAATGCAACTCTGCTTTTCTCTCTTCTACTCGAAAAAAGGGCTGAGGAATTCACCACTGCACTTTCCCTTCCTCCACCTGCTTCAAGGCAGGAGTTGGTGGGCCCCAGAGGGTTCATCAGGGAGGGACAGGCGGATGTCCTGTGCAGCCACAAATGCCCTGGGGCCCAGACCCTCCAGGGGCCATGTAGGCCTGTGAGCTACGAGTTCTTCAAATACAGATGTGGATTGTGAACACTGGAATCTTTAGAAAGAAAAAAAAAAGAGAGGATCCAAAGATAAACTTCTTCCTGTGAAGAAAGTAAAGTTTGTCTTTGAACCGTCTAACCTTCTCGTCCATGCCTAATTGATGTGCTGACCTAGAATGATCACACACATTACTAAGCTCAATATTTAATTAATCTAACATGTATTTATTGAGTATATAATGAGTGCTAGTACTGTTCCAGTTACTAAAAAGTAGAAAATTTTAAATTGGACCTTCTAAGAGAGTTACAGATGTAGAAAATAAACTTACAATTACCAGGGGGTAAGAGTGGGGAGGGATAAATTGGAAGATTGGGATTGACACATACACACTACTATATATGAAATAGACAACTAATAAGGACCTACTGAATAGCATAGGGAACTCTACTCAGTACTCTGTAGTGGCCTATGTGGGAAAAGGATCCAAAACAGGGTAGATATATGTATATGTATAACAGAATCGCTTTGCTGTACTGCAGAAACTAACACAACATTGTAAATCAACTATATTTCAATAAAATAGATTTTTTTAAAATCCTCAAGTGCCCATGATTTTGGCAGCTCGGCAAAGTCCATTCCTTTCCTTCTGAATATGAGAACTAACAACAGAAGGACGGAACATCACAGGTTACCAGGATGCTTGCTGTCTAATAGATCCTGAAAATTTGCTAACAATTTATTTGTTTGATAAGTAAATCATTCTGTAAGCTGAATTCCTTTTTTAATAAATTTACTTTTATTTATTTATTTATTTATTTTTGGCTGCATTGGGTCTTGGTTGCTGTGCCCGGCTTTCTCTAGTTGCGGCAAGCAGGGGCTACTCTTCGTTGCGGTGCGCGGGCTTCTCATTGCAGTGGCTTCTCTTGTTGCAAAGCACGAGCTCTAGGCATGCGGGTTTCAGTAGTTGTGGCATGCGGGCTCAGTAGCTGTGGCTCGCGGGCTCAGTAGTTGTGGCGCACAGGCTTAGTTGCTCCACGGCATGTGGGATCTTCCCGGACCAGGGCTCAAACCTGTATCCCCTGCATTGGTAGGCAGATTCTTAGCCACTGTGCCACCAGGGAAGTCCCTGAATTCCTTTTTAAAACACCAGGATCTTTATATTTGGTTTATGTTCATGCCCCCCTTGGGAAGTTTACATGATCTTGCCTTAATGTGGAGAATTTCTTAGGATTACTCTATAGTTGGAGTACCTATATTACCTTAGGTGGAGCAGATCCCTGCCCAAAAGGAAATGAGTTTTACAGCCAAGTTTTCTTAACTTACAGTAGAAGTTTCCTTACCTTTATAATCTCAAAACATTTATGTTGTTAACTGATTGGTCTCAAAGAGAGCTTATCATTTGGAAAGCCTCTTCAGAGTTTTCTGCATCTGCCAGGACACCATCTGGCCTTTGCCTAGTTGCCAAATAGGTACGCACCCCTGAAGGTCTGCACAAACACGCAGCCTCACGATCCTTTACAGTCAAAGATGCTCCTTCGGGATTAAAGCAAGTGGCTACCAACACCCGGAGTACAGCCGTTGAACACTTGTTTGATTTGCCATAATTAGTTGGCCATCCACTGGAGGCCCGTTTGTGTTATATCTGTTAGGCTGCTAGGCTTTTTCATTCAATTTCTTTAATGGTTATAGGAACTATTTGGGTTTTCTATTTCTTGAATTTGTTTTATTGTTTCATTTTTCTAGAAATTTGTCTTTATTTCCCACATTTTCAAATGCACTGGCATATAGTTGTTAATATCCTCTTATTATCTTAGCATCCGTACTATCTAAAATAAAGCCCCCTTTTCTCAGCCCTGATATTATCTGTCCCTCCTTTTTTCCTGGATCAATTACACAAGAGGTTTGTCAATATCATTTGCCTTAAAAAAAGTTTGGCTTTGTTAATTCTCTCTACTGAATGTTTATTTTTTTATTGGACTAATTTCTGTTCTAGTTTTTCCTTCCTTCCTCCTACTTTTTTCAGGTTTACTTTGCTATCTTTTTAAACTTCTTGAAATGAATACTTGGCTCATCAATTTTTAGGCTTTCTGTTTTTATAATACACACATTTAAGGCAATGCATTTCCTTCTAAATCTGTTTTAGCTGCATCTACATGTTTTTTCTTCTTTTTAAAAATATTTGTTTATTTATTTATTTGGCTGTACCAGGACTTAGTTGTGGCACACTGGATCTTCCTTGCACCACACGGGCTCTTTTAGTTGCAGCACACTGGGCTCCTAGTTGTGGCATGCGTCATCTTTTTTTTTTTTTTTTTTTTTCTAGTTGCGGCTATCGGAATTCTAAGTTGCGGCACGCATGAGGGATCTAGTTCCTTGACCACGGATCGAACCCAGGCCCCCTGCATTGGGAGTGTGGAGTCTTAACCACTGGACCCCCAGGGAAGTCCCTGCATCTACATGTTTTGATATATAGTTTCCTTACTATTTGCTTGAAAATATTTTCCAATTTTCATTATAATACCTTTTTTGGACCTATAGGTTATTTAGAAAAGTATGTCAATATCCAAGCACTTGGGGATTTTCTTATTATCTTTGTTACTGAGCTCTAGCTTAATTGCACTGTGGCCAGAGAACATACCCTGCATGATTTGAATCTGTTCAAATTTGCTGAGACTTGCTTTATGACTTACCATATATTTGTAAATGTTCCTAGAGCACTTGAAATAATGTATTTTCTTCAATGTTCTATATACATCGATTAGGATAGGCCTTTTTCTTTTTAATTGTGTTGTCCAAGTACTTTGTCTTTAATTTTTAATACATTTGTCCTATCAATTAGGTGTATTAAAAAAAACCCACTCTGACTGTAGATTTATCATTATTTAACTGTCAATTTCTACTCCATAAATTTTGACATTATGTTGATAAATGCCATAGAAAGGTAAAATTAATATCTTCCTGGGGAAGTGAACCTATTGTGAAATGACCCTCTTTATTTTTAGTAATGCTTTTTGCCTTAAATTTTATTTTGATTGCTATTGATACAGCTATGCCAGCTTCCTCTGGCCCAGTGTTGCAAGATTCATTTTTTTCTATCCCTTTTACCTTCAACTTTTCTGAATCATTATATTTAAGAGATATAGAGTTTTAGTAAGTCAATTTGAGCTTTAAACTTCTAACTGGAACAATTAATATAACTAGCTACTGACACTTATTCTAATTACTGATATGTTAATAAAAACAAGTCTACCATCTCTGCGGTTTTTCTTAACCTCCTTTCTTGCTGTCTTCCGGACTAACTGACTTTAAAAAATTATTCCGTATCTTCCCACTTCTAGTTTGTAAACTTTGCCTTTTACCTCTGTTCTTTCACAGGTTACCCTAGAAATTATACCACACATTCTATTAAGGGACAAAACAAGAAAGTTAGAATACTTTAATCCTATGTTTATGCTCTATTGTTCTGATCTTTAAAAACCCAAAAGATATTATTCCATGTTCATTTAGATGTGTTTGCTTGTCTCTCATTTTCTTTGCTTATCATTCCTTCCTGTGTCCAAATCCTCCATCAAGGATGATTTTCCTTCCACCTGAAGGGAGATTCCTTTAGAATCTGAGGGTCTCCTGGTGACAAACTCAGTTTTTGTTTATCTGAAAATGCCCTTATTTCTCCTTCATTCCTAAAATATCGTATTCCTAGGTTTAACATTCTAGGTTGGCAGATATTTTTTCTGAGTTATGCTTTCAGTAACATTGAAGACATTATTTCACTGTTTTGTGGCTTCTGTCCTGTGGTCAAGAACTGTCAGTTTTTTGTTCCTTCGAAGGTAATCTTTTTTCTCAGCCTAATTTTAAGATTTTTCATTTTTGTCTTTGGTTTTCTACATTTTCATTCTATGTGGATTTCCTTTTATTTATCCTTTTTGGGGATTCATTCAGTTTCTTAAATCTGTGGACTGGGGCGTCTTTTGTGTGTTTTTTTAAGTCAATTCCAGAAAATTCTCAGCTATTCTCTCCTCTCCTGAGACTGTGCTCAAATGCATGTTACACCCTTTCACTTATCTCTATGCTTCTTGTTCTCTTTCTGTATTTTCCTTCTTTTTACCACTCTGTGATACATTCTGTATACTATCTTGTGCTCTCTCTTGAGTTGATATAATCTGCTATTAAACTCATCCACTTAATTTTTAATTGTAATAGTTTTACTTATTTCTAAAAAATCCACTTGATAGTTTTTCAAATCTGGTACCTCATTTAAAAGTTGTTTTAAAAATTACATCAGTAAAATTGACTCTTTTGGGTGTATACAGAGTTGAATAATCACCACCAAAATCAAGATACATCATCATTGTGCTGTCTTTTGTAGTCAAACCCTTCCCCTACCTTTAACCCCTGGAGAGCACTGATATCTTCTCTGTTCTTATAGCTTTGCCTTTTCCAGTATGTCATATAGAGTGATTCAGACAGTATGTATCCTTTTGATTCTGGCTTTTTTTCACTTACCACCATGCATTAGAGATTCATCCACGTTGTTACATCAATCAATAGCTTGTTCCTTATTATTGCTGAGTACTGTTCCATTATATAGATATAAACAAAGTGGTAAACAAAATGAAAATTGTTATAGGTTTTTGCATAAACATAAGGTTTCACTTCTCTTAGGTAAATACCTAGGAGTGGGATTGGTGGCTCATAGACTAAGTGTGTATTTAATTTTATAAGAAACTGCTAGGGGCTTCCCTGGTGGCGCAGTGGTTGAGAGTCCGCCTGCCGATGCAGGGGACTCGGGTTCGTGCCCCGGTCCAGGAAGACCCCACATGCCGCGGAGCGGCTGGGCCCGTGAGCTATGGCCGCTGAGCCTGCACGTCCGGAGCCTGTGCTCCGCAACGGGAGAGGCCACAACAGTGAGAGGCCCACGTACTGCAAAAAAAAAAAAAGAAACTGCTAAAATACTTTCCAAAGTGGCTGTACCATTTGCATTTTCATCAGCAATATGTGAGAGTTCCAGTTGCTCTGCATCCTCACCAGCAGTTGTTTCTGTTTTTGTTTTGCCATTCTAATAGGTGTATAGTGGTATCTCGGTGTAGTTTTAATTTGCATTAACTAATGACTATTGATGTTGAGCAGTTTTTCATGTGCTTTTTTGCCATCTGTGTATCTTCTTAAATAAAGCATCTTTTAAAACCTTTTGCCTATTTTTAATTGGGTTGTTAGTTTTCTTACTGTCGAATCTCGAGTGTTCTTGTCAAATGTGATTTGCAAATATCTTCTCCCAGTCTGTGACTTGACTTTTCATTTTCTTAACAGTGTCTCTTACAGAGCAAAAGTTTTAAATTTTGATAAAGTCCATTTTATCGACTTTTAGGGACTGAGTTGTCATATCTATGAACTCTTATCTAATCCTTGGTCATAAATATTTTCTCCTATATTTTCTTTTAAAGCGTTTATAGTATTACATTTACGACTGATATATTTTAAATTAATCTTTGTATACTCATTTGAGTTCAAATAAACTTTGAGCTCTCAAAGTTCATTTTTTTACATATGAGTGTCCAATTGCTTTAGCACCATTTGTTGAAAAGACAATTACCAGCGCATCTACTGAAATGTGACAGAGGAAAAGTAGTCCTAATATAGAATAATAAGGAAAATCTATCTGTAATATATGAAATAAAGTCTCTAATGAAATTAGTATCTGAAGCTAAGAGATAAGCGCTAGGATTTAATATTATTGGAAGCTGTTCCCCTGAACTACCTCAAAGACAATCACTACTAACACTTTGACTTAAAACAAGAGAGAGAGAGGGAGAACTCTGTCACCAAAATAAGGTGAGTAAAAATGGCTGATACGGGAAAAGGCACACGTGGGGAGATTAACGTTTTCTAATGTCAGTTTTACAACTCTATAAAGACATACAGAGCAATCTATGGATAACAGTAAACCAATCGCATAACTGGGTAGCTCTTGGAATGTGTTATGAGATGATGATTGATGGGCTTGGAATTTAGCTCAGTAGAAAGTGCAATAAAGATCTCCTGAAGGAGAATAAAAGCCATAAAAGAGGAATCAAAGGCTCTCTCTTGATATCATTATTTCTTCTGGATGATTAGACCATCCAATACTCTGCCCGACGTCCTGC